AACTTCGCAGTTGTATGTTACAATTTCTTCTCTAGATATTGATGACAATCGTCCAAAGACGAAGAAAGGAGTTTTTCAAGGTCCTTCAGCTTGTTGACCTGCGACTGTTCCGGTTCTAGGGAACATTTGCTGCCAATTAGACGAACATTCTCCAGTATAAGTCTGTAGTCCTTGTGCATGAGTTCTCTAGTGAAACGAATTCTCTCCTTCTCATCTAAAATATGTTGCTGCTCACGTTGGTGACGCGAACTCATCTCCTTTTCCTTCAGTGCAATTATATCTTTCTTCGAAGAGAGATCACGCTCATTCAATCGAATACGCTCAGCTGCCTTGGTCTCAGCAACCGAAACGTGTGCCAATCGTGAAGAAATAAGGTACGATGTTGCATGTATCTCCTGTCGCAGGATATGCATTCGACTAGCAGATTCTTTTTTTTCAAGGTCAAAGCATTTCATTTCAAGATTGTACAAAGATTCCAGGTCGTTCTTCCGACGCTTTGCGGCCTCGCCAGAAGCTTTCGCTTCCTCGAGAAATTTCTCAGCCTCCTCTCTTGCGTGCCGCATACGATTTCTTTCGGCTTCTGCTTGCTTTTGTGCTGGTATTATACCAACCTCCAACGACGCCTGGTACGCTCGCAAATGTTGCTGCCGCTGCAATAGCTCCTCCTCCTGTTTCTGCAAACTCTGCAATCTGCGATCGCATTCGTCAGATTTAAACGCAAGTAGCTGCGCCCGTGCATCAATATCGCACTCCATCTGCTGAACCTTAATGTCTCGCTGAACGAGGGCTGCCTTATGAAGCTTCTCAGCTTCCCCTAGAGAGGTCTCAAGGGCTGCACATCTTGACCGCTCTGCCTTTAACTCTTCAGTTAACGCGGCAACGCTCTGTCGAAGATGAATAACGTCAAGCCCAGCTTTAGAAAGCCGTTCCTTCAATATTTTTTTTGATTGCTCTCGGTGCTGAAAGTGAGTTTGAAAAAGAGTCTCCAATTCAAGACACTTCTTTAAGTAAAGGCTATTGTCTATGCTATCTGCCACATCCATAACGCCCTTCGATAACACTTGTAGATAGAAAGATAGATAGATAAAGAAGCTCTTATTAACTGAGGAATATTCCAAACCGAGTCAAAAGCAGGAAATGGCACCAATAAAACTCATCGCATGCGTTCTATAATGTATCTAAAACATCTACAATACAAACACTCTTCTCCCCTCATATTGCATCTATTCTTTTCTTTCCCTACATGTTCACATCACTGCACGTCTGAACTAACAGCCGGTCGCTTCTTCGGGCGGCGGAGAGGGCCCTCCGCCAGATTCAGGCGTTCCACAAACATCGGACGCTCTATCTGATTCCCAGCGTTCTCGGGAAGCTTCACAATTCCTCTTTTCAATATGGTGTTTTGATGTCGGAGTTGCTGGAGCTCAACTTCTTGCTGAGAACAAAGTTCCGACAGCTTCTGTAGTTCATCTGCTACTCTTCCGAAGCTCTCCTTCTTTACAGCCTTGAACATGTCATGGACACGATTGTACTTTTCTACAACACCTTCTCGCTCATTGATCAAGGATTGACGTTCCTCTAAAAGTTTTTGTATTGTGTCTGCATCACTACAACAACGCAGTTTTGCTTCCTCCAATGCAGTCTTTGCCTTCTGGTAGGCTTCTCGCATACCGCCAACGGTGTTTTCAGACTCTTGTAAACACTTTGAAAGATGACTCGCCCGTTGTTCAGCCTCTTCATATTTCTCTATAAAGTGGTTCATTTTCGTCTTTATGGCCTCCAGTTCTTGACGGGAAGATGCACCTAAAAGCTTCAACTTGCATTCCTCTGTCCGCAGCTGCTCCTTTAGCACGGCAACCTGATTTACTGTGTTTGTATATTCATTTTGAAGCTCTACGAGACTTGACTCAAGTTCTCTTTGTTGCCCTGCAAGTGTTTTCTCACGCTGCTGTGAAAGTGCGTTCTCTTTCTTCAAGCTTGAGACTTCACCTTCTGTTAGCTGCAGAGTCTTTGACACGGCATTATTTTCTGCAGTAAGAATCACACAACGCTCATCCAACACGTCAATCCTTTCCTGGGAGCACCGAAGAAGTTCTTCACACCGATGAACCTCACGAATTAACCTATCGTGCTCCAGTTGCTGCTTCTCGCTCTCTTCTCGCATGTCGTTAAGGTTGGAATTCAAGAGTTCATCAAGCTCGCTTAGTTCTCTCCGCATAGTTTCCACCTGTTCCTTAAGCCAATTGTTGTCACTTACGATTTCTTCATAATTCTCTTTTGAGGCCTTCAGTTCCGAAGACAGTCGTACAACCTTGGCTTCTACTACGGTAAGATCTTCCCTCCTCGCCACAAGATCTTTTTCAGTGACACCAAGCTTTTCCCGGAGGGCATTGTTCTCGGTCTGATTTTCCTTAATAATCCCTTCCATAAGGTGCGATGTCTTCATCGTCTCAGCGAGCTGCGCATGATTGCTGCATAACCAAGTAGTCAACTGAGCACAATGACCCAAAAGTGCCTGTGTACATTCCTCGTACCAAATCACTTCTAAAGATCGGCGATCCTTCAGTTCTAATTGCCCCACAACCTCCTTCTTCAACGAATCTATGATCTCCTGATAGTTATTGGCTTCAGACATCATCTCCTTCAGACGCGCCTCATAATCGTTTCTTATGAGAACTCCTTCATCTGTTAGTAGGGTTATCTTCGCATTCAACTCTTGTTGTCGTTTCTGCTCAGTCACTCTAAGTTCATTGTGTTCAAGAAGCAGTGCAGAGTAACATTCCTTTATGGCCTTAAACTCAGTTTCCAGGCCTTCCTTGGCATCTTCAAAGAAACGGCTCTGATTGAGGGCAGCGTCAAGTCTTTCCTGTAGGGTTTCCATCATGCACTTTTGACTTATCTGTGAATCCTGAAGCTCCGCAACGTCTCTCTCCAACAAACGCACCTGCTGCAACAACTCATCTTTTGTTTTTTCATGGTCTTGTCGCACGGAACATAACTCAGCACATGTCTTCTGAAAGCCTTCCTCCAGTGAGGACTTTTCACCTTTCAGAACATCAAGATCCTCTTCAAGTCGTTTTTGCTTTTCTTTTAAAAGCGAGTTGCACAACAAAAAATGTCTCCATTCCCTCGTCATGCTGTTCAGGTTTGACGTCTCCCAGTCAAATATGATATCCTCGCGAGCGTAATATTCTTCTTCAGCAAGCTTCATTATACAAGATAATAAAATCAACGACCGCTGACGGCTGGTCAACTCATTCTCCAGAATCCCGGCCAAGCTTCTCACTTCGGTGCAATCAGCTTCGACGCGCCTTTTTTCCTCTTCGAGGTTAGCTACAACTTCAATAAGTCTAGCCTTCTCCTTTGAGAAAGACCTTATGTCCTCTACGCTCTGCTTCATTTCTAAATCCATCTTCCCCACAAGGTTTTCATATTGAATAATTCGCTGCGATGCAGAACAAAAGTCACTTTCTGCAACAGCCAATTTTTCAAGAATACTCCGGTGAGTCTCCTTCAGATGATGTAGTTCCTCCGCTTGTGAGCGACCTGTCTGCTCTGCATTTTGCAAGCAAAGCTGAAGTTCCGCATTTTTTTTCTCACAAGTAAGCAAATCACTTCTTAATCCGTCAGCCTGAGAAATGGATTCGTTCACTTTTGTCTGTAGTTCAGCTGCCTTTGCCGCCCACTGTCCAACAACATCATGTGCCTCGTTTTGTATAGCATCTATATCAGACTCAAGGGATTCGTTCCGGCAAACGGCTTCATTGAGGTGATGTTTGCATTGATTCAGCTCCTCTTCTAATTGAGCAATACGCTCCCTCATAGCTTCGGAAATGCGCTCTTGCTTTGACGTCATCACCGAAACCCTTCTATTAAAAATAAGGACAAACAAACCAGAGAAGGAAAAGCCATAATATCACCAGAAACGCGTTGGAAACAAGCGCTTTCCAACGAAAAGCCACCCCTCAAACAACACCGCTCAAGAAGAACCCGGCAAGCAACCGCAATCGGCGTTCCGGTTGGCGGCCTCGTTTCCCCACCCCCATCACCCCCACCCGC